TATAATATTAGTATGATAAACAATACTGCCCAAGTACTGACCACTGTGGCACCCAGCAAGAACCTCTTTAAAAGCTCATGTTTGTTTGCCGAAAGCTACATATTGTTGTCTGCCACAAAGGTAGGTTTAAAAAAAAATTAGTTTCTACCATAAAAATCCAATTACTGCAAAAGCATGGTGTGCAGAACTGAGTCAAAGGCCCTGCTGAGATCCACAAGGGCCAAACTGAGATAGTTGAGATAGTTCAAATGTATCCAGAATATCTTACACTATTGGTTCAACAGCTAAACTTGTGGAGTATCCGGGTCAAAAGCCAAATTGATTGCTGTTCAGAATTTTATTATTTGGTAAAAAATCAAAAAGTTGTATTTTAACACAGTTTTCAATTATTTTTGAAAAAAACTGGAACCATTGAAATGGGACGATAATTAGAAATAGAAGATATATCTCCTTTATTGAAAATTGGCATTGTTTTGCATATTTTCAGACAACTTGGAAATGAGGAATTTAATGAGGCAATATTAACTAGGTAAGTTAAGGGTTCTACAATGTATGGTGCAATACTTTTGACAATGTTTTTAGAAAAGCCATAAAAATCTTCAGAATTAGAGGAACTAAGTGATCTTATAACTTGTAATATTTCAATTTATGTTATTGGCTTCCAGGAAAAATTTGTATTAGAAACATTATCCTTAACTAAAAAGTCGAAAAAGAGAATTTGTCTAAAATTTTTTTTCCTACATCAATGTAATAGTCATTAAATACGTCAGCTGTAATTGGTTTATCCGACTTTTCACATTAAAAAAATAAACCACTTTCTGACTTAACAACTTTCTATGCAGCCTTACATAATATGTTTTGTGAACCATTTATAAATTCCTCATTATATTTTAATCAAATCGTTGAAGAATAACAGAGTATCCTTAATTTTCTATATACCACAGGTTATTTTTTATACTAACTTTGTAGTCCTTTCTTACTCTCTTAGATAGTCTAGGACAGTGATAGTTATAACAATTCTGAATACAGTCAAGGAAACATTTAAAAGCAACACTAACATCAGCAATCTGAAAAACTGGCTCCCAATTGATGACACTTAAACTATACAAAAACATATCAATCCTTTCTTTTTTTAATAATTTAAAAGAAAATTCTTTGACTATATCAGGCACATAAACCAAGGCGTATGAAAGAAGGTGTGTGTATAGTGATGTCACGTGCGAGCTAAACGTGTTTTATTTTAGGCCTACCGCACACGAGAGACTTTTTGTCGGCCGACTATTTAGTCGTAGTCGGGAGTCAAAGTCGGCCCCATAGTGGTAAATCTGAGCGCGCACACGGGCCGACCGCAGCAAGACAGTCGGCAGACTGTCTGCAGACAGTCGGGGCAGTTTGGTGCTGACCGATTTTCCCGCCGACTGCTCCCCGACTCAACTGTCGTGTCTTATTGATAAAGGCATGGAGATAAGTTAGAACGCGCACACTGACGACTAAAAAGTCTGCCAGTCTGACAGTCGAGTGCGTTGTTATCATGTGTATTATTATTGTTTTTATGATTAGTATTTAATTTGAAATGAAATGAAATGAAATGAAAAATCCTTTATTTTTTCAGGCAAAGTTAGGGCCACATGGCCCTTTCTTACACTTAACCTGACATTAAAAATATAACATAAATAATGTAACATAGGGATAACTTAATCTAATTAAACATAAAATATTTAACAATTTAAGTACCTACATATCTAAAAAAAACATAAAAATTTAACAAATAGAAAAACACATTCACACACTCTCGCATACACGCATCAGCAAACGCGCAAGGTAACAGTAGCCCTAGGACACGCCAGCCGAGACCATCTTCTCAAAATAGAGCTTTTTCAGTGCCGCCACAAACTGGGAACGTTTTTCAAGGGTCTTAATGTGTAGGGGTAGGCCGTTCCACAGACGACAAGCGGTAACAACAAAAGCCCTGCCATAAGCTGTGGTCACATGATGAGGTATACGCAATGTAATCGAAGAATAACGAGACATTCGTGAACTACCCTGAGACACAAATTTAAAATCGGATTTGAAATATTTTGGGGAGCCTGTTTTCAAAATTGAAAAAACCAATGACAAAATTTTAATGAATCTTTGATCATTTAATTTCAGGATGTTGTTAATTTAATGTTGATTTAATTTGTGTGTTATTGTTATTATTAAGGCTTCGACAACCACCAGTGCAAGTGTTTTGAGGGACGAGAAAGTTGATAAACTTATCGATGAAGTTGGGGCTCGGTCCCCTCTTTATGAAAATACTTTGAAGGAGTATTTGGTCATAATAAAAAATACCCCCGCTGCAGCAAACCGGCAGACTAAGTGAATTCCTATTTGCCTGATTTAATTTTGTATTTAATCTACTTCAATAAAATTAGAATAAACGAGTACCTAGGTTTGCTGCTACAGGGAGGGTATTCAGGATGTGTTTTAGTAAAACATTAATAGCTGAGTATAAAATAAATATATTTGCCAAGTTTTATCAAAATACATCCATGAACAAGCAAACTACAACAGTTTACTTGTTCTACATATAAATGACATGAAAATTTTAACTTTAAATATTTTGGAACTTCCCTGTAATTATTATGATAACCATTAGCATGCTAAATTATTTGTTTTTTAAGCTCTGCAAAATGTTTTCTAAATAAATTACGGAATCTTTTGTTTATACCGTAAAAAAATGGGAAACCCTCATTTTTACTCAATTAAACCCCCGTTCCCATAGTCCGATCATGCTGGTTTGCGAACTCCTTCGAATAAAATAGATGTAGGTTTACACGTTTGTACCAAATTTCATCAAAATCGGATAATTTTTTTTCGAGTTATCGTGCTAACGGACAAATATATATGTGTGTTTGAATTTGAACGGATGGTGTTTTTGGCCTCTGGGGACATCAAAACGAAAAAGTAAATCGGTCCCGGGACCAGGTCTCACCATGATACTACGGTTACAGCTTATTCCCTAAAAGTTATGGGATGAGGTATTTGAAGCCGGGGTATTAACAATTGGTCAAAAAATCAACACTCATTCAAGAGTACATGAAAAATTTGTCCGGATATTTCCTAAAATCCGAGTTTAGAGGTAAATCTGGCCTTGTTCTCGGACTATAAATTGGATGCACCCAGTATTTTCTCTTAAGTTTTCTTGCACGAAATCTTATTAGTAAACCACATATGACAGCGGTTTCTGTCATATACATCCTGTTGACACTCGAAAGACGACTAAACAGTCGTGTCGTGTGCGCACCCATAGTCAACGACCAAACAGTCTTGACGACTTTTCGATTGTTCACCCGACTCCAGCCAGACAGATGGCCAACAGTCGGCCGACAAAAAGTCTCTCGTGTGCGGTTGGCCTTACCAAATCATATGTTTTCCTGTAATTTCCTAAAGACTTTTGAATGACAATGATTACGAATTAGCATTGAATATATAAAACTATTTAGCGTTTTATATCCAATATAGTGTTGTATTCAATATTGAATATAGTCATAGTATTGTGTTATACAGGATATTCAATGATGGTAGTATATAACATTTTGATAGTGAGTACATTTTAATTTTAATCAAAAAACAGTAAAGAAGTAAATATTGTAACTGTGGCTGCCTAACAGGCAATATTTTTAGCTGACCATACACATAGTTTTTAATTTAATACCTTTTTTGCAGCTCCTATTTATGTTTTATATAATTGAAAATTTCTCATTTAAGTAGCCTTAGTGGAAAATAAATAGTTACAAATGAATCAACATGATTGTATTTACGTACATTTAACAAAAACAGCACAAAACGACATATAGCTTAAGTTGTAGAGATGTTATTACACTTGAAGCACTAAACTACTGAACCCGTAGGGGAACCCCTCGAACTATGGTTTTTCTTAATAACTTCAAAAATTTACTAGATGGTTACCGAATGGCCTCTCTCGTTTAGCGAAGTGGAAAATCGCGACTGCAGCAAACCATCACGAATACAGGACGTCACCGCAATCACAAGAAATCATCACAGCTTTTGCCGCGATACAGAAAATCATCACGTATTTCGCCGCGATTGAGATATGATCAGATACATGGCCGCAATCACAAATATGGTCATGGATGCTGAGATAATCGCAGGAGATTATCACGGATGTTGCCGCGATTGTGTACGACACAAATAACGTGACTGCAATTATTATTATTATGTCGTTTTGTGCTGTTTTGTTAAATATATGTAAATACAATCTTGTGAATTTATTTGTAACTATTTATTTTCCACTAAGGCTACTTAAATGAGAGTTGTTCAATGATATAAAACATAAGTAGGAGCTGCAAAAAAGGGTATTATATTAAAAACTATTTGTATATGGTCAACCAAAATATATTGCTTGTTAGGCAGCCACAGTTAAAGTATTTACTGCTTTACTGTTTTTTTATTAAAATGTACTCACTATCAAAATGTTATATACTACCACCATTGAATATCCTGTATAACACTATGACTACATTCAATATTGAATACAACACTATATTGGATATAAAACACTATTTATGTTGTATATTCAATGCCAATTCGTAATGATTGTCACTCGAAAGTCTTTAGGAAATTACAAGAAAACATATGATTTGGTAAAATAAAACACGTTTAGCTCGCACGTGACGTCACTACACACTTTCTTTTATACGCCTTGCATATAAACTACTTGAAAATGTAAAAAATGTAAAATAGGGTGATCATATATTTGTTCTTTCAAAACTTTGCACTGATATAAGTTTGGCTCAATGTTAGTTGCAATACATTTGTTCTCTTTAGTTGCATATTTAAAGATATAATATAAATTGTATTATAAATAATATAATACTAAAATTTTTGTAAGATTATCATTCTTCAAAAAATCAACATTAAAATCTGCTCCTAAAATTAATTTACAATATGGTTTTTGTTGTAAAACAAATGTTAAAATGCTCTCTAATTAATTAAAAAATAAATTACAATCAGAATCGGGTGTTCTGTACAGAGATATCAAAGTTACATTGAAATCATTAATGTAATGAGCCTGTGTGTACAAGGTGTGAAATATCTATCCTATCATATGAAATATTTGTACTTAAAATGATTGAAGAGCCTCCATGGGGATCATCCTCTCTGCAAAAGGAATATGCGAGAGCATAACCTTGGGGAATATACAGTCTAATTTCATCTCTAAGAAGCAAATGTTCATTCAATAATGCAATGCTGCAATGTGATTCCTCTAATAATAAAGCCAATTCACTTAACTTATTCCTTAAAGATTGCACATTTACATGAATTAAATTTAAATTAAATTGATTGGAGCTTCATCTGGGATTATTTGTGAGAGGGTCTAATGCAGTGGAGGATACCCTATTAGAGTATCTCCTAAAAAATTAGAATTTAAACCCTATTAGAGTATCTCCTAAAAAATTAGAATTTACATTTTCTAAAACACTAGCACTGGTTTCACTTTCATTAACACTTTCGGTACACAGTGACACAGGAGGTTGTTGAGGGGCTGTTGATGATGAAGTATCGGCTGCCTCTGCGGGTTGAGACGAGGGGGTGTTGGATTTGCAGGGTGAAGTCACAGCTAAAGTATCTTGCTTGGCTGTCATCGTGTTTGAATTATCAACGACAGAACTTGGATTGTTGTTACAGGACGGCAGAGAAGGATATTCTTCCATTGACAGTAAATGTCCTTTATCAGCCAACAGGGGACGTCCGTTTCCACTAGGTAGGCCTGTTTAGCCTCCAGAATCTTCATTTTGTCGTGCTGATTGAAGTGACACTATAAGTTTCCTAAAGTGTTTCACGAAGTCTGTATACAGTAACTCATTATATAATTTCTCAGAAGCATTTTCATTGTAGATAACAATTGTAATTTATGCCCCTGTTTCCTGTTTGGATTTAAACCGATTGTTGATGAAGTGGTGCGGTGAGATGCGGTCCCGCGTACATCCTAAAGGGGAACTTATCAGATTTGTTAGCTCTTTCCGTCTATAGTCTTTGGCAAGCTGATCAAAAACTGCATCATATGTAGCATTGTATTGTAGTTTTTGGAATTTTGGTAGTATTTTTGCTTTGTGTTACTAAGCTGTAGATAATGGCTCCTTATTTGGATTTTTGACAGGTCAGGTTTGAATCGCAATAATCTGAGTGACTTGGCTTGCCAAACTTTTCACACATTATTAATAATCAAGAAGTTATTATTAATAAACGTATGAGGTCGCACTCCCATGTGAACCAATGAACGAACCTTCATTTCATTCTTGGTTTTGAAGGATTTTCCACATATAGTGCACTTATGAGGTCGCTCTCCCATGTGAACCATTGTATGAATCTTCATATGGCTGTTGTAGTGGAAATATTTTCCACGCATATTAGCTTACACTTATAAGGTCTAGCCTTTACTACTTCCTTCACCATTTCCTACGTCGTGGACCTGTTTCCCTCCCTTTCCATAGCATTATAGTATTTTAAATACAAATATCTAACTGATACACATGATTTCCACACTACATACTGCTCGCCTTTACGACTTCCTTCACCACTTTCTAAATCGTAGACCAGTTTCAGTTTGCCATTTATGAGATGGATCCATGAATATGATTCACCGATGGATAATCACATATGAGACCGAAATGAATTCACTTATGAGGTCGCTCTCCAGTGTGAACCAATGTATGAATCCTTATGTGGCTGCTGTTTGTGAAGGATTTTCCACATGTATGCACTAATGAGGTCGCTCTCCAGTGTGAACTAATGTATGAGTCTTCATGTGGGTTCTGGTTTTGAAGGATTTTCCACAGTATGCACTAATGAGGTCGCTCTGCCGTGTGAACTAATGTATGAATCTTCATGCGGGTTCTGGTTTGGAAGGATTTTCCACATGTAATGCACTTATAAGGTCGCTCTCCAGTGTGAACTAATGTATGTTTCTTCATACTGCTGCTGGTTTTGAAGGATTTTCCACATGTAATGCACTTATGAGGTCGCTCTCCCGTGTGATCCAATGTATGAATCTTCATATAGATGCTTTTTTGGAAGGATTTTCCACATGTACTGCACTTATAAGGTCGTTCTCCAGTGTGAACTAATGTATGTTTCTTCATTTGGCTGCTGGTTTTGAAGGATTTTCCACATGTAATGCACTTATGAGGTCGCTCTCCCGTGTGATTCAATGTATGAATCTTCAAACAGTTGCTGGTTTGGAAGGATTTTCCACATGTACTGCACTTATAAGGTCTCTCTCCAGTGTGAACTAATGTATGAATCTTCAAACAGCTGCTGGTTTGGAAGGATTTTCCACATGTACTGCACTTATAAGGTCGCTCTCCAGTGTGAACTAATGTATGTTTCTTCATACAGCTGCTGGTTTGGAAGGATTTTCCACATGTACTGCACTTATAAGGTCTCTCTCCAGTGTGAACTAATGTATGAATCTTCAAATAGCTGCTGGTTTGGAAGGATTTTCCACATGTACTGCACTTATAAGGTCGCTCTCCAGTGTGAACTAATGTATGTTTTTTCATACAGCTGCTGGTTTGGAAGGATTTTCCACATGTACTGCACTTATAAGGTCGCTCTCCAGTGTGAACTAATGTATGTTTTTTCATACAGCTGCTGGTTTGGAAGGATTTTCCACATATAGTGCATTTATAAGGTCGCTCTCCAGTGTGAACCAATGTATGTTTCTTCATATCGCTGCTGGTTTGGAAGGATTTGCCACATATATTGCACTTATGAGGACGCTCTCCCGTGTGAACCAATGTATGAACCGTCATTTCATTCTTGGTTTTGAAGGATTTTAAACATATAGTGCACTTATAAGGTCGCTCTCCTGTGTGAACTAATGTATGTTTCTTTGTACAGCCAATGGTTTGGAAGGATTTTCCACATATAATGCACTTATAAGGACGCTCTCCTGTGTGAACTAATGTATGATTCTTCATGTGGCTGCTGGTTTTGAAGGATTTTCCACATATAGTGCACTTATAAGGTCGCTCTCCCGTGTGATGCAATGTATGAACCATCATTTCATTCTTGGTTTGGAAGTATTTTCCACATATAGTGCACTTATGAGGACGCTCTCCCGTGTGAACTAATGTATGAACCTTCATTTCATTCTTGGTTTTGAGGGATTTTCCATATATAGTGCACTTATAAGGACACTTCCCAGAATGTGTCAACAAATGACACTTCACTTTACATAGCTGATTAAATGTTTTATCACAAGTCAAACATCTAAAGGGACGCTCGCCTGTGTGTAAGTACATATGACACTTCATTGATGATATAGTAGAAAACATTTTTCTACATATTGGACACTTAATAAGAGGCTTTTTAGTGATATTAAACATTTTTTGTTTTCTTATTTCTGATTTCTAACAGAAGAGCTAGTAACTAATTGGAATTAGTCGGTTGGCTTTGCATTTCTATTTAAATATTTGTATTTTTTTTGTAGGATTTGTTAAATGTCGAACAGTTATTGTTATTATATATATGTATCAATAAAATTTGATCAACTCTTACTCAAATATTATGTGCATTAAATAACAAACAACATAGCCAACTCGAGGCAGTTTGCGTTTTTGTCTTGACTTTGATGTTCCATCAAGTTAAATTAGCCTACTTAAGACAACTTTGCTTCTATATTTTTTATGTAGTCATCAAATAATATTGCATCAGCCATAGAAGTTATGAATAAATTGAATTTTAAGTATTACACAGTGAACTTACTTTCATCATGGAGTAGTACTTTTAGTATAATAAAAACTTTATCTTTTTAGCTGCCGTAGGCCCATTTAAATAGCAGATTATGTCGAAGTTATCTTTCTTGCGACATCAATATAATTTCCTTTTCTTCTTCAAATCGACTGCCTATTCTGAAAAAGATCATTTTTATTTAATATATACATAGATTGTAAACATTTAGGTAGGCTAGTTTTTTTTTTTAATTTAATTTCAATATTATTTTTTAAAGTAATTTTGACGTTTATTGCTTAGCTCTCTAGATATGTGCTAACTTTCGTTTGTAGCACTGTCTGGCCCTATTTATTGTAACTCTCCTCATTCAAACAAATTTTTAAATTACAAAAAAAAGTAATACGAATTATTGGCAAAGTTCCCTCTAGAACCCCTAGTAAAAAACTGTTTCAAAACTTTAAAGTTCTTACTTTTTACGATCACTATATTTTGGAAATAGCATGCTGGGTCCATAGAAACCTCTCTACTTTTATGGAGACCCAAACTCAACATAATTACAATACAAGAAAAAAGAATATTATCAAACCTGTAGCTCATAATTTACAAATATTCGAGTCATCACCACAATACATTGGTCCAAAAATCTTAAATAACTTACCAACAAGTTTAATTACTCTAGAAAATTAGACTTTATTTAAAAGAATGGCTCAAGACTAAATCTTTTTTTTCATTGGCAGATTATTTTAAGGACTGTCGGAAACAATAAGTAAACCTTCACACTCCTGCTGGCTCAATTTTTTGTCATGTAACAATGTTGTATTTTGGGAAGATCCAGTTGTTTTATGTAAATACAGATGTATTAGTTTTATCTATTAGTTTTAAGTCTTTATTTAACCATTGACAATATGTCCTGTTATTATGATGTAATGACATGTAACTCAATAAATAAATAAATATTGATGCCAGTTGCCAGTATTGTACACTGCAGGGCCAGGCAGTGTTACAAACGACCCAAGCGTCCCAACGGTGGAGTCGTCCTGTAATCCAGCTACTGCTAGGTCAAGAGTTGTGTATATTTATAGGCATGTATTGTGGATGCGATGCTCCCTGGTGTGGATTTAAGTCCAGGCTAGTGAGTAGTACAACTATTCGCAGTACATTCCTGATAATTAATCCAATTCTGCTCCAAGACTTTGGAACCATCTACCAAATCAATTTCAAAATTTTCCTCTTAATTTATTTAAAAAAAAGTTGAAGAAAGTTTTAATTAAGCTCTGTTTGTTCACAATAGATACATTTTGGCTAGTGACTGAAGATGAATTTAATTTACTAATTATAGAATGTTAGAATATGTTAAGGTGAAGAAGTTAAGTTGAGTTAAATTATGTTTATGTTTAGGATTAATTGACGAGTTAGGAGATACTAATGTACCACATTATGTATTTTACTAACAAAAAAGTTCTTGTATCTTGTATTCGTTCATTAGGTACAACGCAAAAATGTGGTTCGGATTCCACAATAAACTGTAGGTTCCTTAGTTACCATTGGTTGTATGGGCTTTTAATTAACAGCTTTGTCTAAGGAATATGTCGGCATTAAGCAGGAAACCCACTAGTCCGACACGACAACTTCCAACAAGTCTCCGACACCTTCCGACAAAATTACTTTGTATGACTTTAAATGTACTGTAACCCACTAGTCTCATAGGACACCTTCCAATCCGACACCTTCCAACAACATTGCTCTCAGGGGTATTGTTGTCGGATGTCGGATCCGATTCTTCTCCAGTCTGCGTGCACCAGGCCTAGATTTAGATTAGTCACTGTCTAGCTTTGTGTATCTAATATTTTGTCGGTTACTGACGGAGCCCGTCGGAGCAATGGGTTATTGCGTTAAAAAGTGTGGGAGGCATCGGAAGGTGTCGGAGACTTGTCGGAAGGTGTTGTGTCAGAGAGCGTCGGACTAGTGGGTTTCCGGCTTTAGTCACTAACAAGACTACAAGATCGCGCCACTTATCTCCATTCATACTTGGCTTAAAATACCTTCTTTGTATGGTCGCCATTTCATCGAAAAGTAAAGTTTTGCTCAGAAATATCAACATCTATATCAAGTTTCATTAGTAAATATGTGGACATTACATACATATCCTTTGTATCGGTATTTTTCTGTGTTTGCTTGCTATAAATGTCATCTCGTGAACCCACAGTTCTGGTCAAACCTGACATTGAACCTAAACCAATCAACATTTTCTCAACCTTGGCCAGATTTTGTAGTTCAGGAAGAAATAATCCTACATAGATCCATGCAATTAGACCGTGTAACTTTTTGAAGACTTGCCTGCTTTGAGAGAATTGCACAAACATTGGTCACTGTACCTTATGAGGTTTGTTTTCTTAAATTTTTTACATTTAACACAATTAATTATGAAAAGCATTGTTTTCAACCAAGTGTTCTAAATTCAACTATCTCAAAACATTGCCAGAGAAGTAGTTGGTTGTGCGTTTCGGGTGTTTAGGCTATTGCTCGTCTTCATTTTCTACAAATATCAGGCAGTTTTGAGAGTGAATTCTGAAATTTTCCTTAATATGGTACTCTAAATGCGAATTAGGTATTTTCTTGTAGGCCTAAATACGAAAACGCAAAAATGCTTTACCCTTCTTGGGCAATAATATACCTACCCTAAGTTGTTGCAACACAATATCAATTAGGCCTAATGAGTTAAGGTATTTCTGAACTTTCTAGACTTTTCATTTTAACGTTTTTAAACCGTTCCTACAATCTTAATAAACAAGAAAAAACCTTTTAAAACATTCTTTTAAGGCACGGAAATCACTGCAAATTGCAAAAATATATGGAACTACTTTCTTAAATCGCTGAGCATATCGCACGTCAAGAAACAACGAGAAGAGTGATACGGACCAGTGACTACTTACTCTTGGGCACCTATTTGTGTTGCCAGCTGATTAGTTGCCTAATAAGGATTTAATAAGCAATATATCGAACCGCATCGAAATCAATATTTAATCTGATAATACCTCACAGGTTATATGTTGAATTACATCGACATTACACTTATAAATAAAACGCAGATTGAACACTAGTCTAATTTAGGCATGTGGGGAAGGTGGGTCAGGGTTTATCAGTACCTATTCGTGGCTCCATTAAGTCCTTAGAAGTAAGGTTAGATTAGGTAAGTTAAAGTGTAGGTTATAGGTAATCGGGTCGTTTATTTGTGTTGCACTATACTGTTTTGTATCTTTTGGAATAGGCCTAATTGGTTAAACGGGGAAAGATTTCTAAAATGCTTGCTGGTAACACAAACCATTCAAGGAGCCTAAAAGTACTAGTCACCAGTCTGTATCACTCCGCTTCTCGTTCCTCGGCAAGCGATGTGCTCCGCGACTTGAGAAAATAGTTCCGTATATTTTCGTAATTTGCAGTGGTTTCCACGCCTTAAAAAAATTTTTTAAAGGTATTTTGTTGTTTATAAAGATTGTAAGAATAATTTTAAAACGTTTAAGAAAAGTCTAGAAAGTTCAGATTTACCTAGAAGTTACAACAAGTGTACATTAAGTCAATACAATAAGTCCTAACTTCGCCTCTTAAATAAAGACATTTTTCATTTCAAGTGGTTTGCCAACACGATGATATAAAAAAGTTTCAGTGGTCACGGAGAATCCTCATAAAAGTTTCAGTGGTCACGGAGGTAAGATAAGGTACGGTAAGTACATAAGTAGTGCAGTACCGGTATGCAAAATTAGAGGTGGCACATGCTACATAGCTACTCTACTCAAAACCAGTGTGAATCGGTCGCCAATCTCACATCAAGATTTTTCAAATCGACACAAATGCTGTTTTATGGTAAAATTATCGGATTTAAAATGCATATAGCCATATTTTAAGTCTATATTCGAATGGAATAAATAGGTGGTCACGTTACATTTCTTTATAAGTGATCTTCCCCATTAAAACTGCCAGAATTTGTGTCTTTGCATGCAAACTAGATGTTCTGAATTATTCCGTTTTAGGCCTAGTTGACAACTCAATTCCCTACGTAGGACAGGCCACCAGCTCGTTTCTTGATTAAATTAAATTAAAATAAGGAAACAGCTGTTGTAATGATGACCTATTTTTAAAATAAATCTATGCATTTACAATTGAGAGCTATTAAATAGGTTTCTATTCCATTTGTTTTTTACGAATATTTTTTGTCAAATGTAACTGAAGGCAAGTGAGCGCAGCGAACGAGCTCCAACCTAAAGGTGAGTGAGCGTAGGCCTAGCGAACGAACATCAACCTGGAGGCGAGTTAGCGTAGCGAACGAGCTAACCTGAAGGCAAGTGAGCGCAGCGAACGAGCTCCAACCTAAAGGTGAGTGAGCGTAGGCCTAGCGAACGAACATCAACCTGGAGGCGAGTTAGCGTAGCGAACGAGCTAACCTGAAGGCAAGTGAGCGCAGCGAACGAGCTCCAACCTAAAGGTGAGTGAGCGTAGCGAACAAACTTCAACCAGGACGTGATTGAGCCATGCGAACGAGCTCATCTTGAAAATGAACGAGCATTTGACATAAAACCACATTAGGACAGGGACGTCTGTCGGGCCAGCTAGTGTTAGTATAAACTAGCCTAGATCACAATGACCCTAGCAAAAACTTTTAGGCCTACCTAGGTAAACAAATTGACCAGGAGCATACATTTGCTACCTAATTTACATACCTGCTGTAAAATTGTGTGCTTTGGAGAGAGATTAGACTAAATTAGCCTAATGGAAGCTTGATTTTAAATCACACAAAACCTGACAAAACAGACTGAGACTACAAACAATCAGCCTTTCCACTACCTATACAAATAAACTAACTGCCTGGACTGAAATAAGAAAGAAAAACGTAAACATAACCTCGACTATTTATTACAAACACAAAACAAATCATTATTCATTGGACTGAGATGAGATTAACTTAGTTAATTTAATTGCAGCAAAAGACTCATGCAGTTGTACTTTCACTTTGTAGTTTGTGTGTGTCTGTGTCTGTGTCTCGACCGGACCATCATAGACAAAAAGAGTTAAATATAGACCGTCAGCTGTGTTGCGGTTACCATTGGTTCTGGCGCACACCGCTGGGATCGCCACGGTAGTTACAGCGTACGCGCTACGTAAACTACAGCGGTGTGCGCCGGAACTTATGGTAACCATGGTAACCGCAGCACGGCTGACGGTCTATATTTAACTCTTTTTGGATGCCCGAATGCCCGATGCCCGAAGTATTTACTCAGGGGAGGTATAGAAGAGGATACGATGACAGCTGTGGGCTTCTTTTTAGCTGAGGGAACGTCTTTACCTTAACAAAACGGACGGAAGCCATCGTCCTAGGTGGTCTAATGGATAGCGTGCCGGACTGATATACTGTAGGTCCCATGTTCGAATCCCGCTGGTTTCATTAAACTTTTTGTCCAAGATTTTTTTATTATCAGCAAGTTTGGTTGGTTTGGTTCGGTTATTATAATTTCATTTTATTATTTAGTCATTAAAAAATTTTATTTGAGCAATTTCTAGTTTTATTTAATAAACAGAATTATTTTTCCGATTACTACACTTTTGTTATAATTTCTTTATCAGCAAGTTTGGTTAGTTCGGTTAGGTTATGATAGTTTAATTTTATAATTAAAAAATAATAAAATTGAATTTGAGGCATTTATAATTTTATTTTATGAACAGAACTATTTTTGCGATTAGTTAACCTTCATTGCCAAAGTGCTCTTTACTACAGCGCTGTTCACGGAGGAATTTTGAACTAAATGCCTCATTCGTACCTCCCCTAAGTCAGACCCGATGCCCGATGGTCTCGCTCGACTCGGTCTCGGTCTCGTTGTCTTGTTTCGTTTCTCTTTCTCGAATCTCGGTCTCCTCGTCCTCATTCTCATTCACCTCTCACTTCACTCTCCTCTCACCACACCACACAGTACGGTACACCACACAGTACTCTCACTCTCAGTGTAACAGCCAGCTGTTCTGTTTGTAAGTAAATTTGTAACGTCAAAGCAAGGAAAGTTTCAGGTTATGTTTACAATAATTAATTATCTAAATTTTATTGTATTAATTTAATCGAAATAGTGATTAGGCCTCCCTTCACTCTATTTGTGATACTGTGATACACTATATTTTGCATACTGTGAGATGCAAACTTTTTGTAATGGGAGAAGTTAATAACGAGTCACCTTTATGGATATTTGGATATGGATCCTTGTTGTGGAAAACTGATTTTCCATTTGCTGAAAAGCAAATAGGTTACATAAAAGGATATATAAGGAGATTTTATCAATCAAGTGTCGACCATAGAGGTGTTCCTGAAAAGGTAAGTGGATTAATCTTACAAGCAAAATCTTACGCTGATTACGGTATGTAACTTAAGTCTAAGTTACCACGATTTCCAATCAGCAACTGACTAAGTTTGGCCAAGAATCAGCCAGTGTATCCGACCGAAAAAATAATCCCGCCTAATGGGTCCAGAAATCCCGTTTTATCCCGCTTTTGAGTAATGAAAAATCCTTTTTTATCAAAGACGGGAAGCTTTATTCGGTTTAAACTTATCATACTGCATCAGTTAGGCCTAAAATTAGCTGTTGTTTGGAATAGTGAATAATAACTAAAATTTATTCAGCGATTTGTTCAACTTAAAACCATCGATTGACGCTAAATAACTAAATGCTACAGTAGACTCCCTCTTATCCGGGCACCTTTTAACCGGACATCGGTTTAAAGACTACACTTGGCGAAATTGCAATTTTTAACCGGACAATTTTTATTAGCACATCGGTTTAACCGGACCAGATCGGCAGGAAGTGAGCATTACTGAAATGACTGTTCTCGTGGGAAAGATTTGAGACCAGTGATCACGTGTCTAACTACGTAGGAATCATTATTGGCTTATGCAGTAGGCTATGCATTTAAACGGTCCGTTTTAACAAGTTTTTGGGGACGTAGGTTTAACCGGAAAAACCGTTATCAGGACTGGCCTCGGTCCCGAGGAGTCCAGATAAGAGGAAGTCTACTACTGTATTCAGTTTCTCATAAGATAAAAATTAGTTGTGCTTTGGGACAGTGAATAATGACTAAAATTGGTCCGGTGATTCATGCAACTAAAAATAACCGATTGATGCAAAAAATAACTGATAGATTATTCGGTCATGGAAACCATTCGGATATCCCATCATTACTTTCATTTTATAATCAGCTGGTAGTTAATGTATAATGTACCTAGCCTATAATAGTAAATGTAGGACATAAACTTACTTGCAACCAAATGATTTTGCATCACATCCACTAACTTACTGTAGATATCTTGGACTTAGACCAAAACGTTATAGGCTACCGTACTAAGCAAGGGATGGACTGGTTCAGTATTAGATAAAGCTGTAGTTCTTATAAATTATCAGTATGTAGCAGCATTGGAATGTGCCACATGCTAGGCCTACTATAGGCCTAGTTAACACGTTCGCTGTGTTAAAAGATCCCAAGGTTTCGTATTGTACCTATATGTGCGGGACACATATTTTGGCCTTTTCCCTTAACTTACGACATCAACATTTTGGGGTAAAATACAGGTCTGACTTTTATTAGGCCCTAACGCGTAGGTAATACTTTAAAAAAACCTCGTGCCAGAGGTAGGCCTATAACTAACTTATTTTATTTCCGTAGAGAAATAAAAAAAATATAGGTACCCAAATCAAAACTGGAATGTCACTGCAATACCCTTAGACCAACCCAGCCATTACAAATAATGTTGCAACGAATGAGTTGGTCTGATATTTAAATACCGAATCCTTATTAATAGGCATTCTTCTGTGGTAGCCTAACCGTTGAACATTTGATCATCAATAACTTGGGTTTGTTTTCAGCCAGGACGAGTTGTTACATTACTGACTTCGACCAATCCTGAGGTAAGTAAATTAAGTTACGGTATCTAAACTCAACTTTTTATCCTAGAACTTAACTAGCACCTATGACTTTTTTACAAAGTCATAAGTTAGCATTAATTTTAAATAATATGAATGAATATTTTAAACTGTTCAGTTACTGCCGCTAGTTGCTGGTAGGTAACTTGAAGCTGAAATATTCAGAAAAATTACATCAAATCTGTTTAAGAAAATAAAAAAATCTCTAGGCCTAGGTTAATATTTCATGTTTCTACTGCATAGGTAGGTTAATTCATGTTTTTGCTTTATCAAGGATGTATAAACTGTCATAGTCAATTCAATATTTATTGGTTTTAACTGAGTGTAATATGTGTTAGTGTAAAAAGTGATAATTGATCTAAACAATTACTGAGTAAACGACCAGGAAGTATGCATCAATTATCAAAAATCGAGATGGGGATGCCTCATGTACCTTGATACCTTGAAGAAAGCAACCGTTGACTAGTAGACTGGAAGGGCCTTGTCGTTAAAAAACTCAAAACGCACACACATGCAAAAAAATAAAAACTTTTAGATATTTAACCAAAGTTAAATAGAATACAGGTGACTATCAAACATTGCTTTTAAATGGGTGGATAGCTCTGATTACACGGACCAGGCCTCATAGTACGCCCACAGGCAGCCCTGTTTTTTATTTGTTATTGCAGAGTAAAAAAATGGATCATAGGTTTTAAATTTGATATTTTTATAGTTTAAGTGCAATTTCTAAAAGCCTTTTAAGTTAAGAGAGCCTAAAAAATTTATTAATTTCATAAATTGTTTGGCCAGATGCAAAATATTACCCGGAAAGGCGTAAAGATTTATAATAATAATTAATGAGCAGATTCCATATTGGAGGCACCTGATGCTGATCTTAATTACAGGATGGGTAAACAAATGTCAGCCAAGTAATAAGTAACACAAATTGGAAAACCCCAAATTAATTTTTATTGTGTATTTTCAGCCTTACTAGTTTAGTGAGCATATTGATAGTCAATATAGAGTAGATTATTTGTGTTCCTCGGCACAGATATAACCTTTATTAGGTAGTAGCTATTTTGTAAGGCCCCTAATCTAAGAAACTTAAGGAAAATATTTATTGACTGAAAACATTTATATTTCGGCAGGATAAAGTATGGGGTATCGCATACAGAATAGAAAACTCGGACAAGCAAATGGTACTTCGCCACTTGGATTTCAGAGAAAAGAACGGTTATGTCAAGATTTCTGTGAAGTTCTACCCTGTGGATTTCATACATACCGTTGAAAACAGACCTTGCAAGGGACAGCCTTGTGAGCTTGTGATATACCTTGCAGACAAGAGCAACGAGCATTATGCTGGCGAGGCAGATATAGAAACAATAGCTCGGCAGGTGATTGAAGCAAGCGGGCCGAGTGGACCTAACAAAGAGTATGTCTACAAACTTGCTGAGTACATGAGGAAAATAGCCCCTGGGGAAGACGATCCCCATCTGTTCGCTTTAGAAGCAGCTGTGAAAAGGTTAGAGTGCAAAACCTTTGTTTAACTCATGATGTTAGATTTAATTTGACCAAAATGTCTTTCAGTATTATTAATTTGTATTGGTCTAAGATGGCATATTAAATTTGTTGATTAAATGCTGTGTTATTATTATTTATTTGTTTATTGTTTTGTTATCTATCTATAGGCTATTTAATTCTGTAAGTGAATCTGTCCCCACGAAATAATAGAGCTAGGAAAAAGGTAGCATGGCTTTTGAGGATTCATTTTAAAGCTTAAGGTGCAAGGATGGTGGGAAAAATATCAGAAATGTAAAAAAATTACCCCTGCTCTGCCCCACAGGCCCTGGGAGATTCAGTAATTTTCTAATGGAAGTACTGTTACAGTGTTTCTATATGCTGGGACAGTGGCGACGTCCTGTAATCCAGCTACTAGGAGGTCACGAATTGTGGATATTGATAGGCATACACTGTGGATACGATACTCCCTGGTGTGGATTAACGCCCGCACTAGTTAGTACTGCGACTATCCGCAGTACTATCCTGATAATTAGACCAATTTGTTAATACCAAGGCAAAAATGTGGTTCGAATTTCACTATAAACTGTAGGTCCCTTAGTTGCCATTAGCTGTATGGGCTATTAATTAACAGCTGTGTCTAAGGAATATGTCGGCCTTAGTCACTTACAAGACTACAAGATCACTCATCCTACACTCATCTCCATTCATACTTGGCTTAAAATACTTACTTTGTATGGTACTGAACATAAATGGTATACGAGCTGTTGGCCCGTCCTACGTACGGGAATCGAGTAGTCTATTAAAACGGAATAGTTCAGAACATCTAGTTTACACGCACAGTGACAAATTCTGGCACTTTTAATGGGGGCCAACTGCCCCCAAAACAACCTAATTAACAATTAATTGTTATTTTTTAGTTGTTGACCTTATTAACAAATGTCACGTGACTACCTATTTCTTCCATCCGACTATAGACCTAAAATATAGCGATATGCATTTTAAATTCGATAATTTTACCATAAAATAGCAGTTGCGTCGATTTGAAAAGACTTGAAGTGAGATTGGAGACCGATTCACACACACTGGTATTGAGTAGAGTTGCTACAATTGCATATACCACTTATACGTGTGCTTACCGCACCTTTACCTCCGTGACCACAGACTGACACCTTATGAGGATTCTGGCCACCCATTCTCTTCCATCCCCTGTCTCTTCTAATTTAGATCCCGGTCTGAGGATGTATTTCATAACTTGGTCTTTCCACTTAATTCTTGGTCTTCCAAGTGGTCTTTTATCTTGTGATACTATGGAATATACTTTTAAAAGTTGATTTATCTCCTATCCACCACGTATAGCCTGCCCATCCAAGCCTTTTACTTCTGGAAAGCACCCCTATATCTGGGTGTTTACACATTTCTCTTAGCTCTCTGTTTGTTTTTATCTCGACCTCCGTTATCTTGAACTGGTCTGTATATTTTGTCTGCACTTTTCAATACTGCGGGGAGAGTTATGGTATGGTATGAGTCGACTTTGGTTTCTACTGCACCTTGCAGCTCATTGGACAGTTTAATAGAGACCTACTACATCAATTGACGCTTTCATTACTAACCAAAATTATAGTATGACTCACATACATTCGGACATACGGAAAAAGAAGTATCAACACGTAAACAACTTATATATTTAACAATTAAGCAATAAATTTCTGAAAAAAGATTTCCCAAATATGAGATGAAATTTTCATGGCATAAACAAAATAACTTACTTACACAGTTTGCATTTACGACAAAACTTGATTAAACTATTTGATATGTATAGATCAAAATAACACATTTCTTGATAAAGCAGATCCTTCACGGTAGAAAAATACTTAATTTTAATGTGAAATAGTATGCAGGCCAACACCGAAGAACAATATTTTTGTATACAAACAACTTATAACATAAACATTTCAATGATAGTTTATAACCAGCTGTTAGTTTAACCAGCACTGAAAATACTTTAAATTGCTAGCGTCGGCTGCTAGACTTTTTAAAAATTTAAACTTAATTTCTAAAAAACTGAAACCCTAAATCAAAATTATGGCTTCGCATTCCCTAGTACTTAAAATTATCTTTCTTTCAACACAAAAATCATGAAAATCGGTCAAGTGGTTGATTCAGAATCGTGAAATAAAAAAACCCTGTTTCGTTTTAATATTATAGATAACCACCGATTAATATTGTAAAGTTCAATTTATTATTCATAAAGTTGTGAAATTTAATTAACTTAAACAACATTATTCTGAAACTTGTGAAATTATAATGATATATATTCATAGACGCCAAACTGTTTACTCCATGAATAAAAGAGCTTAGAGTAAAGATCGTTCTCTCTGTCTTAAGTAGACAACAAAATTGTTGTTTGCAAAACGTAAACAAATAAAAAGAAGAAGAAGGTAGCTCCTAATGTAATTCTTATGGGACAAATTTAAAAATGTTTTTTGAGGGTTTTATAATTACTACTGATCGGAATCGTCTAGAATTTTAATGAGGTCTTCCCACTGATGTCAATTATTTGTGCAAAATTTGAACGCTATAAGTGTGACAGTTCTTGAGTTTTTGGTGCGAACAAACACACACACACACACAAGCGGACAACTTTTCTGAGACTCCGCTATACACGATACATAGATTCGTTCACTCATCTATTAGGGCTAAAATTTGCAGTGAGATACAGCTTAAAACTAAATAACAATAAATTTTTAAATAAAGTTGACAGTAATAACATTATTATGAAAGACTATTATATCACAGTTCATGAAACCATTGTTACATACTTTAGAAACAATATCCTACTTGTAAGTTGTTTGAAGATAAAATAAAACCAAGATAAGATCAACCCTGTTTTAATACCAATTTCCAAAAACTCATCACATAAACAAAAACAAACAAAAAGTCAGCTGATAAATATTACAATTAAATATGGTATTTAAAGACAGTACAACACTTCCCCCTTAAAATTAACCTGAGCTCTATTAATTATTTTGTTGTATATCGTCCCTGTCATCGGTGTAGAACTCATGCAGCTCTCCCTTTCATTAACTCTAACTTGAGTCCTCGTAGCTCATCCAACAACCCATTACATTCTTCTAGGACTCGCTTTAACCGAATATCTACAGACCCATATTTATGTTGTAGGACACCTTCTAGTTCTTCTAGAGTTTTCTGCTCTTCACCTAGTTGTTCTTGAACTTTCTTCAGAGGTTTGGTATCCTTGTGTTCTTTCAACACTTGAAGATGTTTCTCAAAATCCTTGTATTTTTCCATGGACATATCACTCTGGTACTCTACTCTAGCCTTCTTCACACTGTCCAGATGTGCTTTGGTCACCACAGCTTTGCAGAACTTCTCCTCACATTCCCTTGGATCAATACTGGCAACTTGCATGCTGTTGACCTCCTCCATAGAGTCCTCAGAAGTACAATTTGACGATTTATAGCTGTTCTTTGAGCACAGCTGATATCTACTATTGGTGGCAGAGCTAGCTCTATTTGGAGTGGAGTATACATCGTGGTTTTAGCGAATTTCCCATATAGGGAATAAGCTATTACCGTAGGTCTCATGGTAAGACCTAGACCCGGGACCGATTTACTTTTTCGTTTTGAGGTCCCCAGAGGCCAAAAACACCATCCGTTCAAATTCATATATATATATATATATATTTATATATGTGTCCGTTAGCGCGATAACTCGAGCAAAATTGATCCGATTTTGATGAAATTTGGTACAAACGTGTAAATCTACATTTATTCGAACGAGTTCGCGAACCAGCATAATCGGACCATGGGATCAGGGGTTTATGGGGGGTTTTATGGGGTAAAAATGGGTTTTTCTCATTTTTGACCCTAAAAACTTCAAATTTCTAAATTTCTCTCTAGACCATTTTGAAGAGCTTAAAAAAACAAATAATTTAGTATATTGAAGTGTTTTTGAATGTTCATTGACTACGGAGAAAATTAAAAAAATTGTAAATTTAAAATTCCCATGTTATTCTTATGGAGAATAAATAAACTGTTGTAGTTTGCTTGTTTATGGATATATTTTAATCAAATTTGGCAATTTGGTTTATTTCATACCAAGCTATCAATATTTCAATTGAAAAAACACACCTCAACATCTTCCCCGTAGCAGCAAACCTAACTACTCACTAAAATTAATGTTATTTAAATAGGAAATACATCTTAAAATTTATAGGGAATATTTTAAAAGAAATCAAGCCGGGTAAATGGAAATTCGCTTAGTATGCAGGTTTGCTGCGACGGGGGTATTTAAAGTTATATTTGCTGTAAAGCTGACTTTCTAGTTCCTTCGTCCTGATTTCTCTAGCTTTATCTCTCGCCTGTCTCTTGGTGGCCAATCGAGTCTCAGGCTCTTTGGATATCTGGTCGAGTGCCGGGTGATTAAATCCCTTCCTATCGTGGTACCGGCCTCCTGTCAATGACTTATTGTATTCCACTATGTTTCCATCCTTCTTAGTTCTGTGGTTATTCTCTTTCTGAAGCTCAATGTTGAATAATTTCAACCATTCCCTTCCAAATACACTGTCTACATTTCCCCGAATAACGTATAGGTTGCCCACAGACATCTGATCTTTATAACAAATTTTGACTGTTGCAAAACCTACGGGGCGAATCATTTCTCCTGTATATGTCCCTAACCGTATTCTTGTTCTATTTAGAATCTTTTCTGGAAATAATTTTCGAAACAGATGTAAAGGTATTGTACTGACCGCAGCACCAGTATCCAACTCAAAATAGTTACGCTTGTCATCAATGGTGCATTCTAACATAATTTTCCTCGGCCTGTTGACAGCTTCTGGTTGATAAACTATCACACAGTTTAGATAGTTTACTACTTTTTTTCTGCCTATCTACAATGGATAACATAGACATGAATGGTACATTTTGACACTCACCCTCAGCGTCATATTCATTATCTGGTGAAGCGTCGTCAGTTTGTAGCATGTTTTGCTTCTTTCTCCAACAAACTTTGCTGAGATGTCCCTTTCTGTCGCAATTCCAACAATTTATGTCTTTAGGAATTTCACAGATACTAACGTGATGGTTTCCTCCACA